AGACAGGGGAGGCCCCACGGATGCCGAACTATCTGGGCTTAATTTCTTGGTCATTTTATTTTAGTTTACTTTATTTTATTTTACTTCATTTTCGAATTTTGCATTTCCACTTTCTGTTTTCTGACGTATCTTCTTAGCGGTATGAGTATCTAGTTTTTGGCGAGACTTTTTCACGGCGTGGAGCGAGATATTTTGGGTTTCTCTACCTGTTAATCTCCATTTTGCCGAATTGTACACTATGAACGTGGGCCCGGGAGTTTGGAATCTACGAAAAGCCTCGACGAACCGTCGCAAAGACCCCGCCGAACTGGGGAGAACACCGCGCGGGAAGTATATTCAGAAGGAACCATCACGGCCATACTATTTGTCGGATCAAGCCTGCAGACCCGACGTGCTCTTTCCCCGCGGGGTCATAAACCACTTATAACACTAAATTTTGCTTTACTCGGCCATGTTTGCCCGGACAACGGTTCGATATCCGTGGGATGTTCATATCCGGGTACTTTAAGTAGATACATTTCATCTTCGTTTTGGAGGTATAATCGAACAGAATGATAACGAAGTTTGTTCTTGGAACTTTCTATGCTTTTCAGACTTATGTTTCTCCATTCCTCAGCAGGAAGAGCTGAGATACCGGGTTTATATTTTGTGCTTGAATGAACCTGGTCATTTTTCTGACTACATAGCTTAGGACACTGGTGCAAGCGGGATTCTGCATTTTGGCACGATAGACAGGGCAACGAGGATAGACAGAGGGTGGATGTACTAGAGGAAGACACCAATTGGAGGTGGTCTGCGCACAAAGTGAGAATAGTTAAATAGAGGAAGCACGGCACTAGCTTCCTCTTTGGGCACACGAACTTTGGTTCACCCTCCTGATGAGTTCTGCTCGGTGGGCAGATGAAACCAGTCGAGGGACTTCACCGGTGCTTGCTTCTGGTGGCTGGCTATGGATATCCTTGGGAATGAGAATGTTGTGTTTGATTTCGATCTCTCTTTTGCTTCTCTACCAGGTTGTGTCTTTTGCGGCTGCTCAGACTGTGTTGCCGAGGTCTGCCTTGCTCTTAGGCACATAGTAACCGGTAGCTTAGAGGCTGGTCGGTGGCTATGTCTACGACGCGAGACTTCGACGAGGCTACTCATCGATTGTGGGCTTGAAGTGTCGACACTGGGTTTTGACGTGAGTGCGATCACTATTGCTCCGAACTTCGATAGATAGCAGCACTACGACATTAACAAGACGAAGAGATCACGACTGGGCGGAGTTTTACGTAGAAGGTGACGACATAGGGGGTAGTGGTTCGCGGGAGACTCAAGATCCACGGCTATGACGACCCATTCTTGGTTACGTAAAAGGATCGACTAACAGTAGTAGGACCGACCCTTTCTACGAACTGTACTACGGGAGGAATAGTACCTGGTAATACCGGGTGGGAGATTTGGGGATCGTATACATACACACGACTACGTATAGCAAACTGTTAGATGGTCCAATAAGTAATGATTCCTCGTACGAGCTTTATATGCCTGGAGACGTGATCAATAGTACACGGGAAAATCCTGTCGAGAGATCCATAGAATACTCACTGCATACCCTTTTTTTAAATATGACTACGAACAGCAAGATGATAGTCGATCTGTAGAATCACGCTCCTACACGTCACTGATAACCGATCAAGCGGTACCATGTCAAGAGCCCGAAGCAGGTGGAATACATTGGTTCGACATTTGATACATAGCATGCATGAACACGAGTAGGCGACGAAATCCATAATTCGGTTCCGAACTGACCGCCTGACCAAACGTCGGGTTCTTCAGCTGAAGGAAGGCATACCCGATGTTTGAAGCTTTCTCCGATTCGTTCCACGCAATTGAACTATGAATCGAGTGCGTGTCGCGGTTAGAACACTACTCATAGGGATAGGCTTAATGTGCCTCGGCACTGGTCTCATAATCTGCGGATCTATGCTATTCTAAGGACCACGATGCCGACGAGGTGTGCCTACTGCGGGAGACGACACACACCACGTACTGACCGGATTAAAAAGCGGATTACAATCCAACTCTCTAGATATATCAGGCAAACGATAAGACCAGTCTTTCACCTCACACAGTTCATCGAAGATCCGGCGGTAAGGGCAAGGATCTACGGAAAGATACAGACCATTTGAGAGAAGATCCGTAGGATGATTTTCCTCTTGAGTTCGACGAGGCAGCTTAACTACGATGAGGTTATTGAGATTTGGAGGGCGTAAACGAAAGTGACATACACTAACACAACAGGCAATACAGAGTATTCTAAGTTGCCACATCACACGACCACACACGTTCTATTCCTGGTTATCAGCATGTATCTCACGAACACTCCGAACGGAGTACCGGGTTCATCGTCCTACCCGACGACTAACAATGGGTACGGCACTAGTAACAGTGGACCAGTGATTCAAGGTAGACCCGTAGGTGGTCCAGGATTTAACACGTATAACAATGGCGGGACTAACCGCAGTGGGGTCTGCTTCAACTGTGGGAAGGCAGGGCACTTCGCCCGAGATCGCTGGGCGGGTAGAGGTCGAACGGGTCAACCGAATAACTTCGATCCGGAATTAGAGGAAATCAAAGAACAACATAGGATAGCAAGAAAAGAGAAACAGGAAATGGAGGAGAGGAGGAAGATAGAGGAAGATAAGAAAGCCAGGGAGGAAGAACAAGCTCGAAGAGATCAAGACTTCGCACGAAAGGCCGAAGAGTTTAAGCTACAGATACGCGCTGAACTGCACGAGGAATGGCGCAAGAAGAAGACTGAAGTTGAAGCCGCTACAAGAGAGTCGGCGAAGGAACGACGGTCCCCTACGGGATGGTGGGCAAAGAAGCTGAGAAGGAGCCGACGCAAGAAACGAGCCAATAAGCGCTACATCACAGCCTCCTCTGAGTCAGACATCTCCGAAGACTCCGAACAGTCGGAGTCGTACGCCTCGACTACGGAATCGGAACTCACGACGAAACGACGGTCTACAGGAAAGGGGAGGAAGAGACTCCGAATGAAGACGAAGGCGGACAAGGTCAAGATGAAGGGGAGAGCTAAGATGTCACCACTCAACAAGGCGCCGGGAGTCAGCAAGGGGGAATGTTCTAAACAAGCAAGGAGGTCGGCTCGGGGAAAAGCGTGCGAGGACGATTCGGACGAACAAGCAAAGGAGCCAAGAACACCACTGACAGCGGGTTACAAGGGTCTGTCAGCTGAATGCTCGCAGAAGGGTATTATAGACTGCTGCATCTCTGCGCAAAAGATTTACTCTACGAAGAAGGCCATCGATCTCAGGAAAATATGCGATAAGAAAGGCATTAAGTACACCAGGAAGCCTGAAATAGTCGAACTTCTGGCGAGACAGCAAGTTGAACTCGCTTACGAAGGATGTGGGGATCTTGAGACGAACATGGAGGAGGAGGCGGATACAATCACTGCCTCCCAAAGAAAGACGGAAGAGAAGGGGAAGCAAAAGATGGAGACTCTGATCAACAGGAGGACGCGCGTGACTCTGAAGTCGGCAACGGTTCAACCAGAAGATGATTCAGACAGACGATGTGCCGCAACCGAGGAACTCTGGGAGGTACTCGCGAAGACACTACAACTTAGATCCTCACCGTGGGAGCGAGGGACTAGGGGCGATATAACCAGGAAAGTTGAGAGTTTGATAACAATCTCAACTTTGATTCTAACATCGCGTGGCCAGATACCCTGGCCGGAGAAGATCGTTGCAAGGTCAGATAGGGTACTAGATCTAGTTGGGTTAGACTCACCAGGGGTTTATGCGGTGGTCAGTCCTTGGACAAAGAAGCTATATATAGGCTGTACCATTAGCCCAATGGCTCAACGCTGGAGGGAACACTATGGTAACACTAGGAACGATGCTCTAGGACTAACCCCTCACTTATACCGATGGATGCGAGCATTCGGACCTGATAAGTACTTAATTCTACCTATTAGACACGCAACAGAGACAGACGACTATACCTACGAAAGGTTTCTCATATCCGACCTGTGTCCTTCTTTGAATACAAGGGATCTGGGGAGACGAGAGAGGAGGGTGAGACACTCTAATAGGAGAGGGAGAAGAGAGAGGAAGGGTAGAGTTAGAGAACGGAACGACCAAAAACCAGTCCTGTTTCAGATAGGAGGACTGACGCTTACCTCTCTGATCCTTATCCTGGAGCAGCTAAAAACCGGATCAGGTGGGAAGGAAAAAGGCATAAAAAATACTCGGTTAAAAACGGTGAAAGGAGATTTTTGGACAGATGGCTGGGGACGGATTCGGAAACTCTACGGTGAATCTAAAGTCTGTGTTGAGGGGAAAGGCGGCTTGCTCAAGTATGCCAAGACAGCACTGCAGCAGGGTGCTGATTTGTCCTTCGTCAAGGTGGTTCGCACGAAGACGACGACAGAGGTAAACAGGAATATTCTTCTGGGACTGATCAGGAGGCCCAAACCGAAGTCCTTCTTCCTAAAGTTGTCGTCAAACAAACTGGTGGGACTCTATAGGGCTGCGGGGACGCTTACCGACGGAAAAGTTAAGCAGTCTCTACGTTGGAAGCTTGATAGAGCTATCGTAGGAAAAACGGGGGTGAGCGTTAGAAGGAGGGTGAATGTCCTAGTACCGTTCGATTCAGGGATCAAGAAAGCATTGGTCCGAAAGGCAACTGAGGAGGTGATAGATCAAAAGGTCACAAACGTTCATTTGGCGAGATTTGTCAAAAGTCGGCTCCGAATAATCTGGAGGAAAAATAAGACTGTAGGAGAACTACTGCACAATCAGAAGATGTTCACCACTGAGGAAGAAAGACCATGCGCTTGTTATTTCTCCAAGTTACTGAAGACTGACGGGCATGTGATGACTCGGTTCGCTGATCTTAGCTCGGACATAGTATCGTCATTCGTACGAAATTCAAAAAATATTACTAGACCTGGTAGCACACGGGACGGAGTCACTATATTAAGGGCGATCTCAGAAGCGACGAAGTACCTTGGGATACAGAGCACTCCGCTCAGTTTACCAGAGGGAACCATCTCGCGGAATCCCGATAGACCGGTAGCCTGGACGGATTGCGAGGTGCTAAATTGGAGTAGGGAATTCAAGGGTCTGGTTCTAGTACCTATAGATAGGAACCAAGGGGGCACCGCAGTTATCTGTCCGGTTCTTTACCGGCATGCGTTTGGAAAAACCTTTTTGTGGAACACTAACTACGAGGCGATAGGTAGTACCAGTTCGGAAGCAAGAATTTTGGCCAGAACCAAGGAGGAGTTTTTGGCTTCTGGTCTCCACACGTTCGGTCCTTGGAAGCGGGATGGACGACTGGGTAATGCCTACGTCATTCCCAAGCACAAGGACCTCAACAGGTGGAGGCCGATTGCACCAGCACCTGCAGATCCGGCGTCGCTCACTCAAAGGAGAACGGCTCGGGCGCTTCATTACTTACTCATGGGAGTTCCAGTTCAGACTTCTTTCTACCTGAACTTGGTCTCAGATCTAGCGGATAGGCTGAAGGCAACCACCCATAGGCTAAAGGCCGAAGAATGCGAACAAGCGGTCGGTAGGTGTTACGACATAAAAGAAATGTTCTCCCACATTCCCCACGACGCCGTGCTGCAATCGGCTCACCAACTGCTACGACGATTCGAGGATGCAGATTGGAAACAGGTGAAAGTCTCCTTCAGAGGACGGGCTTGCATTTTGAGTAAGACAGCCAGAAAGCAGGATGGCTATGTTAGTATGAAACTGAAGGACTTGCTGAAGACAGTAGGATTCGACCTTCAACATTCGTTCATCAAATGCGGGACGAAGGTGATGAGGCAGATTTTCGGGATTTCAATGGGCAAGTCGACAAGTCCAGTCTTGGCATCTATCACATGTGCAATGGCGGAGGGGCGGTTCCTCAGAGCATTGGGGACGGATAGAAGACTGGTGGCAGGATGGAGAATAATGGACGATATATCGCTGGTTGCCGGTGTACCCTCTTCTGGATGCCAGGCCAGTTTTCTGGCGGACTTCTTTAACTTATTCGAAAGCAGCTATGATCCGAGCTTGAAGATCGTACGGAAAGACGAGTGCGGACTGACCTGGGATTTTGTCGGCGGCACTATGATGATTGGAAGCAAGCCACTGCAGCTGCATTATATACCTCGGTCGAAGAACACCGATTCTCTGCATGAGACCGGGAAGCTCGAATTCCAGACACTCCAGGACTACTCATCATATTCGGATAAAAAGGTTAAGAAAGCGGTGCTGTAAGCTACCCTGAAGAGGCTTTGGAATCAGTCCACCAGCAAACAGCTGGTTTTGGGGACTGTCGCTTTTACGATTTGCGAGACACGCCTCCGGGGTTACCCCCCGGAGGTCTCTCTGGGTGCCCTAGCCAGTTTGGCTAAGGCTCCGGAGAATGACTTACTATATAAGATGCTGGACGTATTCACCGCTGGGGCAGGATTCAGGCGTTTTAGATAATAGACGGGGGAGGCCCCACGGATGCCGAACTATCTGGGCTTAATTTCTTGGTCATTTTATTTTAGTTTACTTTATTTTATTTTACTTCATTTTCGAATTTTGCATTTCCACTTTCTGTTTTCTGACGTATCTTCTTAGCGGTATGAGTATCTAGTTTTTGGCGAGACTTTTTCACGGCGTGGAGCGAGATATTTTGGGTTTCTCTACCTGTTAATCTCCCTTTYGCCGAATTGTACACTATGAACGTGGGCCCGGGAGTTTGGAATCTACGAAAAGCCTCAACGAACCGTCGCRAAGACCCCGCCGAACTGGGGAGAACACCGCGCGGGAAGKATATTCAGAAGGWACCATCACGGCCATACTATTTGTCGGATCAAGCCTGCAGACCCGACGTGCTCTTTCCCCGCGGGGTCATAAACCACTTATAACACTAAATTTTGCTTTACTCGGCCATGTTTGCCCGGACAACGGTTCGATATCCGTGGGATGTTCATATCCGGGTACTTTAAGTAGATACATTTCATCTTCGTTTTGGAGGTATAATCGAACAGAAATGATAACGAAGTTTGTTCTTGGAACTTTCTATGCTTTTCAGACTTATGTTTCTCCATTCCTCAGCAGGAAGAGCCGAGATACCGGGTTTATATTTTGTGCTTGGATGAACCTGGTCGTTTTTCTGACTACATAGCTTAGGACACTGGTGCGAGCGGGATTCTGCATTTTGGCACGACAGACAGGGCGACGAGGATAGACAGAGGGTGGATGTACTAGAGGAAGACACCAATTGGAGGTGGTCTGCGCACAAAGTGAGAATAGTTAAATAGAGGAAGCACGGCACTAGCTTCCTCTTTGGGCACACAAACTTTGGTTCACCCTCCTGATGAGTTCTGCTCGGTGGGCAGATGAAACCGGTCGAGGGACTTCACCGGTGCTTGCTTCTGGTGGCTGGCTATGGATATCCTTGGGAATGAGAATGCTGTGTTTAATTTCGATCTCTCTTTTGCTTCTCTACCAGGTTGTGTCTTTTGCGGCTGCTCAGACTGTGTTGCCGCGGTCTGCCTTGCTGCCTTGCTCTCTCTCTCTCTCTCTCTCTCTCTCTCTCTCTCTCTCTCTCTCTCTCTCTCTCTC